ATCATGTATAAACAGCTCCAAATAAGACCCAGGCATGATCAATTGGAAGGGCAAACAACTATGGGGGCGTGTAGTGTAGGCTGACTATCACAAAAGTGCTGCTGCGGAAGGCTAGTGGCGTGAAGTTCACTATGCACGTTTACTTCGGGTCACCAGGCTCCAGCTGCAGCGTCTTATGGCGCTATCTCTTATCCACGCGCTCGCTGCTGACCCCAGCCATTCATCATGTTATTTAGGGTATTTTGAGGATTCCTCAAACGTGGAGTTGTGCGACATTGTCCGGATATTGACCGATCAGTGTGCTTTTGAAAAGTCACCCTATGTAGCCACTCTCACTACTTGACTTTTTCGACAGGCTTTTTGGTCAAAATATGCTGTCGATGGAGAGGTAGTGGAGTTTAACCGATGATTTAAGCCAATCACGCATGAGTGCAACGTGATACACAGATGTCCCACCAAAACTTAAAAACCAAAATCTGCGAATTTTGCCTAGAGGACAATTCCATTGGATTCAGGAGGGGGTTTATACGCGGGAAACCTCCAACGATGAACACACAACCACAGCAGTATTACGGCTCTTCACGTGAAATAGTCTTATCAAACGAACGTGTGATCATCACCGATGGAATAGCTTCCCATACTTTTAGGATTCTTTGCACTATGGCCAACCTTTTTTCAGCAGCAGTTGTCACCTTGGTCTCGTGAAGCCACTCAGTACGGCACTTCGCCTTCAAAGGGCCCATGACATCCACATCAAGTGGCCCATGACACCATGACACCCACATCAAGTGGTTGGCATGTACACGTCGAGTTGGGGGGCAGCTCTTCCAACTGACAGGCCCCGGGTGGGGCGTCACGTGCGCTGACAAGTTGTCCACAACAACAACCGAAGGCGCTTTGATCTCATAGCGGAGCAACTCACGGACGTAGATGTCCCACACCCGCTCATCCATCCAGGCATTTTCTTGCACCGCATAGATGGCTCCTCGCGGATACGTTGGCAGTTCGACCAGACCGCCCGGCTGGCCATGGACTATGACGAGGCGGCAACTTCCGGCCTACATCTCACGTAAGTGCAAACCCATGACATTATCATACCGTCAGCTCGAACACCTAGCACTGCTGTCACTCTGTTCGAGTGCTTCTGCTGTTTGTCCACCTTGGACGATTCGCCGATCTGAGCCCATGTGCGCCGTGCAGGCATGTCGTAATGTACACCTGTTTCGTCGATATTGATGTTGGCGGGGTCATAGGCGGCGTACTTTAGCCAGAACGACTTGGTGTACTCGACACGCGTTGCGCGGAGCTCGAACTGCGTCTTCTTTGACGCGCATAGTACTCGCTAGGAGAAGCCATGTCGGTGGACAATAGCTTGGCACCACCCAAGAAGACCTTTCTACGCTCGAACATTGTCTGGCGTGTCTTGGGCCATGTGACGACGTGAGCAGTCGTCTAGACGCTATCCATGAATTTCACGAGGCTGGCGCCAAAGCTGACGGACTCCAGTTGGCAATGTCTGTCTAGAGTCGTGTTGCTGCTCCGTTTCACTGACTCCAGGTACTCGTGCTTCGTTTGAGCCACCCGCGTAGTGTTGCAACCGGAATATGCTCCTGCCACGCGAATTGACGGTCGCTGCAGCATGGACCGATATCGAAATGTTTCCGCAGAAGTGTCTGTATTGTGCCAATACAATTCTGTTGTTGTTTCCTTTTGAGAAGTAGTGTTGTACGTCGGTACGGCTTAAACAGCGGCTTTCGCCTTTGCTTGAGCCTTGGGGCCATCGGTCGTCGTGGTTGTGTTCCCTCTGGCATGGAACCACGTTTGAATTTCATCCATGTACTTTATTTGAACAGGCCAATAGGAGAGGGTTTTTTGCTGTATTCTCTCCAATAAGAGTTATCGATTTTTTTATCTATGGTTGGCTGAAAATGCATTGTAATTTGACATCGGATCAGTTGACACAAATGAATAAAATGTCGACTGTTGAGGTAAATCGAAAAGTAGGCTCTGCGCGCGACAGATTCAAATTTTTGGAGGGAGTTGAAGTATGGACGAAACGTTGAAGTAGAGGGGCAACAGTATACTTTGTTCAAGTAAAAATATCGACTTCAATGTTCTGTACTTCGAAGTATTTACTGGAATAGAATATACTGTTATTAATATATCGATGTCAATGGATTGCTTGAATAAAGTACACTGTTGCCTCTGTACTTCAACGTTTCGTCCATACTTCAACTGCCTCCAAAAATTTGAATCTGTCGCGCGCAGAGCCCACTTTTCGATTTACCTCAAGGAACGCACCCATGATGGACGCGCGGAGGCCATGGGCAACATGGGCGTTGGTATGTGACGTCACAGCAACGATGCGGCATGTGTCGTTTGACGACTATTTCTATATTGACTGTGAATTGACTTTTTTTTGCGTGATTTCCATTTTCATTGGGCACACGACACAATTCATTGGGCACATGGGCAATTGCTTGGGCACACGGCCAATTATATTGGGTACACCGCCAAATATATCGGGCACACGACATCCGGGTGCCAAATTTAACGGGCACATGGCCAATTATATCGGGCACACCGCCAAATATATCGGGCACACGACCAAATATACCGGACATTCGTCCAACTTACAGTTAACTGTAAAAAGGTATAACATTAGTATAATATGATTGGCTTTGAGGAGATCAAAAATACACAACCAAACCTAACAGCCAATAAAAACACAACATTGGATACCATATGGTTTGAGTTATACGGATATGTATAATGAAATTAAGATAAAAAAGTTTAAGGAGGGAGAACAATTAGGAGGAAGCAAAATCTCGAGTTTGGCCACTTAGGGTGCGTCTGGTAAAATTTCAAAAATAATATTCCATTTTCTCGCAAAATGGGATTAACCATGATGCCATTTTCAAAATTGAGGTAAAAGGTCTATTTTGTACTAGTAATATGGTTTTGAACCCCTTCAACGAGTAAATCCCACGTGGAATTATTGGATTTGGGTTAAAACTCTTCGAACAAGACATGTTTCACAGTCAATATTGAACAGATTTGTTGAATTCGGCCCCGAAATGGGGTTTTGGGGCTGCAATATTTCCGGTTACCAGAGTTATTGGGACGTCCGAGCAAAATGGGGACAAAAACACCCGGATATATCCCCAAATTATCGATGGTCCATTATTGTAACAGGTTTTGGGATAGGGACATCGATACTGTATACTAGTAGGGTGCTAGAGGAGAATAATTCCCTCATTAAAACATTTCCACTGTTCATTTGACCAGAAATACTGATTCACATTGTCAATGAGGGAATTATTACATCCGGATACACCTTTTCGCCAGTAGCCCTGTAACCTGGGCCGGTGAGTACATACGATGCCAAATCTCCGGGGTTAACTGCATCGCTAGTGGTGCACTTAACCCCTAGTAAGAGGTGAGATGGTCTGAGCATACAAAGTTCTATATAAATCTCATTGAAACAGTATTTCGGGTCAAAACAACAGTTCCTTACTACTAGTATTAATACTAGTAAGTTACAATAAATACCACCACCATTTGCTCCCTGTTAAGTACGCCAAGTACTAAGTTATACTCACATATAAGACAGACACGACACAAAACCGACAAAATTCGGCCCCGTGATTGGATGACGTTATGAAAAAACCGTACCACGACCAAGCTGTCACTATGTGGTAATCAATGCGTGAACAGTACGGAGGTCAGGCATGACCGAGTTTGAGAGACGAGTAGTATACCTGTCTTCCGCAGCTCATTTCTGTATGCATTCATCCTAGTCTCTTCGTGGTAGCTACAGCAGTTAGGTTGTCTGTGGCTCGGTTTCCCCTGATACATTCTGTTGGATACCATGCCCATCATTTGGAACTTCCATGGTTTTGTCCAGAGGCCACAAGGATGGCTGAAACTACCGACAGTAAGATTCATGCTGGGTTCGAGAGGTTAGAGACGTTTTAGTGTCAAGATTATAGTAGCAGTGTTGCGCAGCAGTGATGATGCTATGTATCTGCACCACAGCTAATGGGGCTGACTTCAGCACATCGTGCGCACTCTCGTCGTGTAAACCAAAGTATGAATAAAAATACGTTTTGATACAGATTTCAGTATACAAATTTACATATTAAAATCTGGCCAAAAAAATTGTCTCCACTTTTATGGAATAGAGGAAGTATAATAGTACGTGTACATTGTACTGTACCTTTAGCCCCCGCCAGCAAACAGAACTCTCTCTGTATGTCGATACATTCGAAAAAACTAAGATACTTTACTTGGTCGTTGTATTGACATGGAAGAGACATCCGCCAATGAAAGGCAATAGGCTTCTACTTTTAACCAATCAAAAAGTTGTCGGATATATTGGCCATTTTATCTATACATGTTAGATTTACACCATTCCAACTCCTTCCTGTGGGCCAACCCCTTGATCGGTCCTGTGTGAATAATTCCCTCGTTAAAGCAGCTCCACTGTTGTTTTGACCCGAAATACTGTTTCAATTAGGGAATTATTACATCCGGATACACCTTTCCCGGTAACCTGGGACTCCGTCCTACCCCCAGTGAGTACATACGATGCAAAATCTCTGAGGTTAACTGCATCGCTAGTTTTTAGCTATCACTAACCACTGAGATGCACTTAACCCCTAGTAAGAGGTGAGGTGGTCTGAGCATACAAAGTTCCTTATAAATCTCATTGAAACAGTATTTCGGGTCAAAACAACGGTGGAACTGTCTTAATGAGGGAATTGTACGTCCTGTGTGGCCTCTTGCAATTCCAAGCTTTTGAGACAGCATATTTCTGGAGAATATCCGCGACATACTTGGACATTCCGATAACTCTAACCTTATTATTTGTAACCCTTCTTCTTTGTGGTTACCGTTCGTATTCGCTATACTACCTCTCAAACACGAAGTGATTATCATTGACGTTCAAGGAATCGATCCCCCCTTCAGCGGAATTTATTTTCAATTTCACGTCTGCCATGGAAAGTCACGGCGACAAGGCGGTGGACTTGGGAGGAACGCGTGTCATACATTCACTCGAACACGGCCAAAGACGATGATGGGTACGTCGAAGCGAAATCACCCAAGGACCTGGAAGATGGGGCGCTGTCTGAAGGGGGTGCGCTGGACATGTTCTCCCGCGAAGCGTTTGCCCTGTTCATACAGTACGGCGCCGTCGGGATCATGCTCAACATTATCCCGGTGGTCCAGTATCCCATCTTCAACATCTACCTCAACTTGGAGGGTTACCAAACGTCGTCGTACAAGGTGTTGACTGTGATCGGGTGGTCGTTCAAGGTCTTCTTTGGCCTGTTGTCGGATTGCGTCCCCATCTATGGCTATCGTCGCAAGTCGTGGATTTTGATCGGGTGGACCATCACGATGATCTGTCTGAGTGTGCTGGCATTTTCGCCGTTCGGCGAGCCGTTTTGCAACCGCGAAAAGACCAAGTATTGTGGTACGCCGTTGAAAAAGGTGCCATAGACCGAGCTGAAGTACTTCAACTTATCCGCCCCCGAAAACGGCACGCTGTTCATCCTTCTGTCCATGTTTATCTCGTTCGGGTACGTCTTGGCTGCGAGTGCGCCAGACGCGATGGTGATCGAGTATGCCCAGCGAGAACCCGTTTCCATCCGCGGCCGCATCCAGACCGCCAACTACGTCGTGCGCGAGATCACTGGCAGCCTCGCTTACTTGGTGAGTGCGGTCGGGCTGAATGGCCCCAACTACGGCGGGTCGTTTTCGTTTGCGTTGTCGCCGAATGCTCCGTACGGCATTGCCTTGGTGCCGTGTGTTCTGGCGGTGCTTTCGACTATATTTGTTCTCGTGGAGAAGAAGTCTGAGGCTGTGTCCTTCCCCCTATGGTGGGGCAAGTTTTGGGAATCTCTCCAGAGTCGCGTGATGTGGCAAATCTGTTTGTTCCGATTCCTCATCAGCGTGTTCAACGGCGTGCGCACCACTGCGGCGTTGCCCATCTCGACGTACTGGGCGGGGGTCGAACCTCTCAACGATGCGCTCTCGAACGTCATTGGCAATTTGCTGTTTGCTTCTGTTTTGGTGATTGTGGGCAAATGGGGGCTTCACTGGAATTGGCGCTGGACCATCGCCGCCGGTACCCTCGGGATGATCGTCGTCGACGGCTTTGTTGTGTTCTTGACCATCTAGAACGTCGTGCGCAGCCAGTGGTTCTTCAATGGAGTGGGGTTAGCCGCGCAATTTCCCTATGGCCTCCGCTAGATCGTGTCCACGTACGTGGCCGTGGAAATCGCCGACAAGGGCAACGAAGGCGCCACGTACGGCCTCATCATCACTGTTAGCAGCCTCTCGGGGCTCTTTGCCACCATCATTTACAAGTACGCCAACTCGTACTTCAAAGTACGTCAGAATGACGTCAAGTCCGACACACTCGAGGTGCGGTGGGACGTCACGTACGTGTACTTTATTTCGTACGGGTCCAAGATCGCGTCGTTGTTTTGGCTGTTCTTGCTGCCTCCCCAAAAGGCAGAAGTGAAGGCCCTGAAGGCGTGTGGTGGCAAGAGCAAAGTGGCGTGTCATTCACCGTGACCAGCAACATCATGTCCATCTTCCCGATCACGAAATGCTACCGCGTCGCAGGGGGCAATTGTAGCACTGCGGGAGGAAGCGTGTGTAGTTGCGGGCAAAATGCACAATGAATTAACTGAAGATCTACAAAGATCTCCTTAATCCTCATCACTATGAAATCTTCTTAATCTACTTCACTACTTCTACACTATTATGCACTTTTGTATACAATGGATGCGGGTGCGGTTGAGACATTGGGGAACTTCACTAGGCTAGCGATTCTAAGCCATACTTGCCCTTGAGACACGTTCCCAGGCAAGCATGAGCTAGGGTGCGTTATGAGCAAAGTACTTAGGAGCTGGGTGCGGGCAAGGTGGTGGCAAGCCGTTAACCCA